CTCTAAGGAAGACCACAGCAATGCTGACTGCTTTGTTTGTGTGTTCCTGAGTCATGGTGACAATGATCATGTTTATGCATATGACACCCACATCAAAATTGAGACAATCACAGACATGTTCAGAGGAGACAAATGCCAGAGTCTGGTAGGAAAACCGAAGATATTTATCATTCAGGTAAGATGTCTGTTTCTGAATTCAGTGGAGCTAACACTGACCTATGTCTTCTTGTAATACAGAAGTCAGTTTTCCTGATACAGTCTTTCCACAAGGGAAAGTTTTTGCATCTTTAGGAAAGAAGGTATGGAAAACTGCTCCTTAAAGGCATTTAAGACATGGATTCTTCTCTTTTTTTAAAAACCTTTATGTACACAAGTGTTAATATTATGATTCTAGCTGTATTTATGAAGAGCAACCCAAATTAAGCCTATGTCAGATTGACTGTCAGTGTATATTTAATGGCAGAGAAGACAGTATCATTTTTTTTTGAGAAAGTTGTGTACAGCCTCAGCTCAGTTCCTACTACTGTTCGCACCTCACAGCCCTAGGATAGGCTGTAGAAGGCTATCAAACCTCCTTACCTTCACTGTTTCCCTACAGGCAAGTCCCTTTACTTGATCCTTACAGAAGTTGTTTTTTTGTGGGGGTTTTTTGTTTGGTTGGTTTTGGTGATGGTGGTGATGTTTTTTCTGGTTTTCTTTGGGTTTTTGTTTTGTTTCTTTTCTGTCCATGACCAATAATTGGCATCTCTGTAGAATTTAAAGAATCAATTTAAGGTTTTACTGCCTCAGAAATACTGCTTCTGCTAAGTAGTCAAATAAAGCCCATGCGTAACTGCCTGTTTCACTCCTTGGTTCACAGGATAATGCAAGTTAGAAGGGACCTCAGGAGGTCTCTGGTCCAGCCTCCTGTTCAAAGCAGAGTCAGTTATGGGGTCAAACCAGGTTACACAGGGCTTTATCCCATCTTTATCCAGATTACAATTAGCAAACTCAAATGAGAACCTGGCCTTCAGCAGATTGTAATTGTAGTAGTTTATAGAGTAATTCTAAGAATTACCCTTTTTTTCAAATGAAAGCTTCCTTAGGAACAAGGCTGCTGCAAGAATCAGCACATTGTTAATTCATCTTTCATTAGGACTCACTCAGCTTTGATTTTTTTCTTTTAACCAGGTGCCAAAGATGGAGAATTATTTACATATTTCAATTTTAAGTTATAACTAATACTTGGAAACATTTATAATGTATACTTATCAAAAAGCAAATTAACTGAGTTACAGCACAATCGGCATAGCATTTACCTTTGGAAATCAAAGGAAACAGCAAGGATGGAATTTCATCAGTATAAATGAAAGAAGATTTTCATGTTTCTCTCTTTAGTGGCAGTTCTTAAGTAGCGCTCCTTACCTACTTTGTATCTTTTTAGTGTGTTCTTACCTTCTTATTCTCCATGTATAGCCTTTCTGCAACACTGACAATACTGGGCTCACTTACTGGCTTCTCACAAAAAAAACGCCCTCAACTAACACATTTGAGACTGAACTAAGAGCCCAAGTGTAACAGCATATAACGATGGCTGTGCTTCAGAGCATTTACTCAACGCTGCCTTGCCAACAGGTCCAAGGGAGGTGATTCTTCCCCTCTACTCAGCACTGGTGAGGCTGCATCTGAAGTACTGTGTCTAGTTCTGGGTTCCCCAGTACAAGAAAGATACGGACTTACTGGAGTGAGTTCTGCAAAGGGCCACAAAGATGATTAAGGGACTAGAGCATCTCTCGTATGAGGAGAGGCTGAGAGAGCTGGGACTGTTCGGCTTGGAGGGAATCTTATCAATGTTATAAACACCTGGTGGGAGGGAATAAAGAAGAGGGAGCCAGGGTCTTTTCAGTGGTGCCCAGTGACAGGACAAGAGGCAACTGGCACGAATTAAAACACATGAAATTCCATCTCTACACAGGAAAACACTTTTTTACTGTGAGGGTGGTCAAACACTGGAAGAGGTCACCCAGAGAGCTTGTGGAGTCTCCATCTATGAAGACACTCAAAAGCTGACTGGACGTAGTCATGGACAACCTGCTCTAGCTAACCCTGCTTGAGCCAGGGGGGTTGGACTAGGTGATCTCAAGAGGCCCCTTCCAATCTCAGCGATTCTATGATCATCTCAGAGCTTTCACTGGGCTTCGTCACCAATATTTTAATTGATAGAGAAGTAAATGGGTCTTTATGAATCCAGACTCATGGTAATGTGGAACACCTAACTGAACAGAAGTCCTCTCTGGTTAGTGTCAGAAGTATCATATTAACATAGGTGAGCTTGGCAGAGGTGAAAGCATAACAATACTTCTCACCAACAGGCATGTCGAGGTAATAAACGTGACGATCCAGTTATTGCTCCGGATTCAACAGATGGTAGCGATGAATCTGTTGTCAATGAGACTGAAGTGGATGCAGCTGGTGTCTATACCCTGCCTGCTGGCGCAGACTTTATCATGTGCTACTCTGTGGCACAAGGTAAGTTGTAGTAATTTACATCTGATGTCTGCTACTTCACTGTAACAAGCTTGAACACTTCTTCATTTTGCAAACAAAATAATGAGTACAGTTCCAGGTCATCTGTTTTGCATGTCTGATAAGTGACATCTCGTCTGGGAAAGATGTTAAGGAAAAAGTGAAAATAAACCATCAAGGTTGCAGTTAATTTGCCAAGCAGAAACATTCTCATCATAATATTGCTGCTGAGCTGTCTGCTGACAGCAAGCATTCCCCTCTTTTCCAGCACTGTAGGATTCTGGTGGCTTATAAATTTCCTTGCACTATGTGGCTGTCCTCTCCAGTCCTCCATGTTGTCCTCAGTCCCATCTGCTCTCTTGTAATGTGCAGATACAATCCTGTAAGCTACCAGTCCCTGAACCATGCTCCTCTTGGCTGAGCACTATAAGTGATCTCAAAGCCATTTCCCATCTACAACTTCTAGTGAAATTACATAATTGGCAAAGTAAGATTTACACCCATTAGTAATCCCTTACGGATGCAGCTAGCGAGCAGTAACTATCATGAATATTTTTCAAGTGGCATCACTACTTATGTTTGGATATAATTTCATGCTCCTGTTCTACAATAGGTTACTTTTCTCATCGTGAAACTGTAAATGGCTCCTGGTACATTCAAGATTTGTGTGAGGCACTTAGGAAGCACGGCTCTTCCTTGGAGTTCACAGAACTTCTTACTGTTGTTAACAGGAAAGTATCTCATCGCAAAGTGGATATGTGCGGAGACATCAATGCTATAGGAAAAAAACAGATTCCCTGTTTTGCCTCAATGTTAACTAAAAAATTGTATTTTCATCCAAAATCTAAGTAGATTGTTAAATAACAATGACAACCATTAACTACTACTCACTGCAGAAGTGAAGAGCACACCATCTTAGTTCAGGAGACTAATATTCTACAAGATTGTTTGCAAAAACACTGGGATCAAATGTTATAGTTTGCATATATAATAGTTTCTAAAATCTTAAAGCAATTTTAAAGCTAGTATTACAGCTCTGTTCATCTCAGGGAATTTGGGAAAAGTTGACTGGTGCAAAACTATTAAAAGGTGCTCAGATTTTATTGAAATTGGTACTGTAGATTACTTTTTTTCTTAAAAGTTCTTTCCTTGATTGCCATCTAACCATGGCACATTTTACTATTTCCAAAACATTTCAGATGTTGCATTAGATTAGCTTTTCTTGCTCCAAGAGCACAGTTTACAGGGAATATGTTTGTAGGATGTCTTTTTATATCTGCGGACAGCAGTATCCACCTTCCAATTTTTGTGAATTTATAGCTTTTTAGACTTTTTTTTATTTTCTCTGAACACTAAAAAGGAACTTAATTCCTTGAGTACAATTGTAGCATTAATATAGATAAAGGGCTTATTTTTGTTTGCACATCATTTACGTTTGGGGCACAATTAAAGCTTGCTGGTGCTTCGCATCCTCAGGAGAAAAGCAAGCAGTAGCGAAATGAGATCACGTACAGCTTGCTTAGCATGACTTTGGGTAAGCTCACCTTGTACACATCTCTCAAGCTAAAGCAAATCATTTCAAGGTTCCAGGCTCACAACTGCTGGACATACCTAGGCAGCTCTGCAAAATACAACATATGCAAACCTTCATACTTCAGGCCTTGGTGCTGGATCAGCCTCTTCCTCCCCTTGGCCCCAGGGGAGATCAGCCATACACTGCCACGGCGTATATAAAAGTGATAGTGCGTTTGTCACCACAGGATGTTTCACCATAGGATTGTTACTACTGCAGCATCAGTAATTTCAATGGTACTCACTAGAAGCGAATATTTCTTTTTATTATTTTTTTACATTATTGGTACATACACTTAACTCTGGGGGACAATGGAGAACTCACACTGAGAAAAGTGTCTTAATCCACTTTCCTGGGTATAAAAGAATTGACTTACTGGCTCTACTTTAGCTAATCTTTCCATATACTATGTTCTGAGTCACAGATGTTAAATCTTACTATGGCTACTTTAAGCTTTGTATAAATCATGCATGTATAAACTTGAATGTTTTGATAAATTCTTTCAATAAAATGCAACAGTGAAACATAAATGATTTTATAGTAAATGAGTTTGATATATCTTACTTTCCCAGCAATATTTACTAAAAAAGCTTACTTGTAATGCAAGTCTAACCTCCACCAATGGTGTTATATCAGAGTCAAAGCACAGAGCTAGGGAAAGGAAAACAGTAATTTCAGGAAAAAAAATCCTTAATACTCAATGCAGAAAATTATTCTAGGAGCTACTGCTGTGCTATAGAAAATAGTCCTAAAAAGACAGCCCTTGTTCTATAAAACATCCCTGTCATTTTACCAGCAGGCAGAATGCCTCTATTTTACTAATGAGGTTTGACAAATATCTTGAAGAACTTTGCTTCAGCAACTTCTTTATAGTATTTAAGAAAAAAAAAACCAAAAAACCAATCCCAAACCACCAAGTGACCAAATCATTTTTATAGTTATTTATTGCAACTTTCAAAACTATAGTGGTCAAAGATACCCAGTTTCTATAGAGTAACTAAATGTTCGTATCACCTTTGAAAGGGCAATTCTAATATATACGAAAAACCAAAGTCAGTCCTTGTCATTGATTTCCTGGATTGGAAGCCTCAGGTGCAGAGGTTGGCGCAGACGCCTCAGGGATTCTTCTGCCTGCCAGTGAAAGAAAGAGTGAGATTTCGTCCTTCTGCAGCCCTCTGTCTTCTCCTCCTCTTTCACACATCCAGTATCTTTCCTTTCTCAGAAGGCATTGGTCTTACACAAGAAACCATACTAATCGAATGGAGGACGCCGAACGTTTACAGGTCATTCAGCCAGTCTCCAGAGAGAAGCATGTGCTCTGCCCATCCACCCACTCACCCACACCCCAAAGTATTATTTTCCTGAAATGACAATTACAAAATTCATACTCAAAGGATACTGAAAAAGCATCAAACTCTAGCCTTATGCCAAATGTGGCTCATGAAATGATACCCTGAACCACAGGTCTTGAACTAAAATTAGGGGTAGTTTCAGTTTTCTTTTATGAGACATGGAACATAGGGCTGGGGAGATGGAATGGGGGAGTAAGAATTGAGGAGTGGGATCTGCTACATTTTTTCATGAAGATTACAAAATTTCTCCCAGACACACACCACCACCTTTTAGAGAACACGGGTGACTGGATGGAAATCTAAGCCTTTTACCTGAGGAATAGGATTAAGTTGTTAAATGCTGAACTCTGCAAGACAGTTTTCTTCCAAGGAAGGGAGAAGATTGTGTTACCACAGCAGTGCAGCAAGCACACTGCCTCCCAAAGCAATACAGCTATTCTATTAAAATAGAATATTTTATAGGCTGAAATAGGCTGAAAATGCAACATATTCAAGTATGCAAAAAACGGATGTGTAGGGCTGATAAACTGACTTATTTGTTTTAAATTAAATTCATGAAGGTCTCCCTTTCTGATGACTTACTGAAGTAGTTTATACATCAATGGCAAACATTGTATGGTTATTTAAACAGCTCAAACTGGCTGATAAGCAATACACTGTTTGTTTTGAATGTAAGTAACAAACCTTGAGGTCAATTTTCCATTAGCTGAGCGTTTACTGAAAAAGTCTTAACCCAGAGGCTACCTCATTATTTAAGGACTGCATTTAAATACCTCTGCTAGGTCTTCTTTGAGCTTGTTATATCGTTCCACATTAAAATGCTGTTTTTTGGATTTCTGATAGAAGTAGTGGAGGAACTGCCTGTCTTTAGCGTCAGGGTAAATGTAGTCCTGGTGAAGAAAGCAGGGCACATATTTGGGGTTAGCAAGAAAACTGGGTAGAGGTCAGAAGATTATCTGGGCAAATGAGTTTTCAACAGAAATTCAGCCTGTTTCAGGAAGATTTATCTAGTTCAACACACACACATGTTCTGTTAAGAGGCTACATATGAAGTTATGCCCTTATAAGTCATAAGGGCCTTTGAGACACATGGTATGAATAATTTCTATCACGTCTAAAGGAATTTTCAATCATAATAAAGACATAGTGTGATCTTCATGACAGGAGCTGCCTGAGTCAACAGACACTACTTCCAAGGAGTCAGAGAAAGTTCAACTACTATTTCTCAAAGACTTATTTGAAAGTCTCAAGCAATGGCGCCAGCAGCTGTTCAGAAAAGCCAAGTAGTAATCTCTTTATCTACTCACATATAAAAAGTAGGAATGCCATAGCCCTTCTTAAAAGTCAGTGAGGAGGAGTAAAATTCGCATTCAGAGCCAGCTGTTCATAAAAACAGACACATCTCCCCTTTTCACTAAAGGAACCTGACGTCTCACGAGGTCTATAGATCCATCGGTATTATGGAAGGAAGTGTTGGCTACTCTTCCTCATACCTCCATAACAAAAAGAGTTTTGCATCACAAAGTTCGACATCGAGATGTCCACTTTGGGAGTAAAGTACAGAGCTAAAATAGGAAAAAGAAACATTCCTCGAAGTCTTACAGGATTTCAGGACAAGTGTGTTCTGCAGCTCAGTTAAGATCTGTTTTTTTGTTACCCAGCAAAATTTTTTTCTTCTGAACAAAGCCTGTTTCCTGCCCCATTTCAGCTGTCCTAGATTTACCTCCATTCATTCAAAGTCAAGGAAAAGCAGTCAGATTATGAAGAACAAAGCAATAACATTTTTTCAGGCACTAAATTAGGTATATTTCAATAATGCAACTGCCAGATTTCCAAACTATTTGGCACCCTGCACCGTTTATATGTAAACTCCAGCAAATAAAACCTACTGTTCAGTGATTTGCTTCCTGGCCTGCTGTAAGGCAGCGTTCACAAACTGGCACAGCACTACTAGTTGCTCTCCCTTTACAGCAATGAGCAAGGTGCCATTTACTATTCAAAGTGATCTACAAAAATTTAAAATAAAAGGAGAGACTTCTTTGATCACTTTTCATTCCCTAGGTTATGAACTCTTACAGATAGTAGTTCTGCTCAGCAGCTGGTCTGCAGTTCATGTGTAACAATACCTGGCTTGACACTGCATAATGTAATGTTCATATCCAACCCCATTAGGGATCAAACAAGTCCCTATCTGATGGCAAGGCTACTTACTGAATTGTATTTTCATCAAAGCCCAAACATTGGGATTTTCAGAGTCAGTCTTCCTCCTTTACAATACTCCAGACGTTTACAAAATGAAGACTTACCTGTTTAGTAAGAACAAAGTAGGCATAGAAAGCCATGGCACTCCCATAAGTGATGAAGTATGTGACCGGCTCCATGATGTCCCAGGAATAGACCCACCACGTGAGCCACGCCAGTGCTCCCCCTTGTGTTGACATCAGAGCTAAGCCAACCCATAGGAGCCTGGAGGTCTTTGCATCTGCCCTGTCCGTGATTCTGGCTTTCATCTAAGGAAAAGGAATATAGAAACCTGTTCAAGCAAATGAGTGCAACTGATGAGCAGCTCCTCAACTATGTTTTCTCCTGCTGGGCTAGATCCTTTTTCAGGATCTTTTACTGACTCCTCTTATAAAGGAAAGAAAGAAAGAAAGAAAGAAAGAAAGAAAGTCTGCCAAGAAAGAAAAGGACTGAAATCCAAGGGCAATCAGATCTCCTGACTGTTGTGCACCAAGAAATGCTGCTTTTAATCTCCCCTTCCCACTATTAGGGATTTATGTCTACTAGATTTCCATTTACCATTCAAGGCAGCTCTGGTTAACGCTGAGGCTGGTCCTCACAAAGCAGGTCTGAAGCGAAGGAAAAGTTTGTCTACTTTGTCAGGCTCTTTCTGGCTTCCTCCCCTCATGCTGAGTTAGCTTAGCCTGCACTAGATCAATATTCATACCTTCCCTTCTTGGATTATGGCAACCATTAGTCCAAACAATTCGTCTTGCTGCCTTGGTGATATAGAAAACCCTAGCCTACGCCACAGATGATTTTTACCTCGCTATTGTTTTTTCTGTAATGGGTATTCAGAACTCATAGAGCAACAGGTGACTAAGAGGACTTTCAATCCCAATACTAGCCATGCGGAGGCTTGCTCATGACAGCTTTCTCCGGGTGTGTGGTTTCTACCCAGGGCATATGCATAACAGGAGGGAAAAGAACTGAATTGAAAATAATTTGAATTATATTTGAATTGACCCTCGTTTGCATAACAAACAAAACAGACACACCCTAGCCATTCATGCTAATTTTTTTCTATCACAGGACTTACTCATGATGAAAGGAAATTCTTTTGAGTTTAAAAAGGAAAAGAAGTAACCCCACTTTCCAACCTGTTCAAGAGGCAGCAACTCTTCTTTCAGATGGTCCAGTTTCTGTAGCAATTCTCTCTCTTTCCTGATCTGGTGATCTTCTAAATGTAGAGCCACAAACAGTCTGTGAACCAAGGATTTGATATCTTCCATTTCAGTAGCATGCTCACTACTCAGCATCTCTGAAAAGAAAGTGTTTGTCATATAAAACATTTCAAGAATCTACCCTTCTTCATTCTCTCCCCACCTCCAACCCCAAAAAGCAGGACCATCCAATAGTAGAAAAAAAAAAAAAAAAGAGAAATTCCTTAATTCCTTTCTCCAGACAGGTTCCAGTTTTCTGAGACTTCCCACGCCTTTCACTAGATGAAGTGAGATAATCCGAGTTACTAAGCATCACTCTTACCTTTTGCAGGAGGTGACACACTGTATGCTGTGTTGTTGACAACAAGTTTAAAGTCATTCATCAATAAGACCTCCATCAAGGTTGCATCAGAGACCTTGCTACCATCTGCAGACGAAAGATTTAAGTTCTAAATCATTTATCATAAGGAATCTTAAACATTAGCTGATATCCCTTTGAAAAAGTGCTAGAGTTCTTTATTAATAATGTTTGGAAGGGAACTGTACTTCTAGTAAATGTGGTAACTGATACTAAAAAGTAAGGAGGAACACATCAACGCAGAGTGTGTGCCTGAATGATTTCTCTAGCAGTGTCATTTGGACTTGCCACTACTATGAGCAGACTTGTGTTTTCTTGTGTTACAATTATGACCCATTGGGAAGGGGAGGGCAGAAGAAAAAGAAGTCTTGCATAAAACAGCAACATATTGCAACATGAAGATCTGCATTTTTGTTTCTCCATCCACACAAAAGTTTGCATCTTCACTAGGACAAAGGGTTCTGGGAAATTAAAAGACCTTCAAAGACCTCATCTTCAGTTACAGATTTATGTCTTTCTTTAAACAAGCTCTTCTAGTCAAAAGGAGCAATTCTTATCAGTAGTGGTGTTCAGATTTTTATTAATGGTACTTGCAATCACTCTGTTTCAATATCAGTTGTGACTGCGAGTTAAGAAGTAGATAGCTAGACTGTCCAGTACAAGGCAGACCAGGAGCCACAGAGGCATTAGTCTAAAAAGCTCTGGAGAACCCTTTTCTACTTTTCTTTTTTATGCAGAAATTTACATGAATACTACCCCATCAGCAACACAGAGAACAGGCTGAGGGAAAAAAAAAATCCTATCTATTTTCAATGACTTAAAATCAGAATCAAGGGGGCAACTGTGACATTCAACCAGGAAAGCTGGTTGTTGAAGATTTTATCCTGCTTTTATATTTGTTCCTTCTTTTCATCCCTTCTCTGCCATTTTTCTTTGCCAAAGGCCCTTTCACCCAAAAGGCAGTATCTGTGTGCCTAGGGCTTAGAAAAGATTTGCCACTGGTAGATGGACCACAACTTCAATATATGAAAAGGCTCTCATCCAACAGCATGGACATATTGAAGCCCTTCCCAGGGCATTCTCAACACAGCAGATCTTGCAAGATTAGTACTCTGACAACATTTCCGATTTCTTGAACAACAGGAGAAATAGCTGCATCCAAATGAGAAATGGATCCCTTCCTATTTTACATTCAATACACAAAGGCAATCTAAAGGTAATCTAAAACCTCTGCTGAAATGTAAAAGATCTGTTTTGTCCCATCTCTGCTTTTTGTTTCCCTGTTTAAAGGGGCCTGAAATTGTAAATAACCTCTTTTCTTTAGTATATTACTACTCTTCCTGCCTGCCGGCTTTCATATCTCCTCTTCATTTCACCGTCCACCGCACCTCACCGCAGCTAAGACGCAAAGGAACACATCACATCCCACTGGGAGCTGAAGACAGGGAAAAGGAGCTTCCAGAGTCATTAGCAGCAACATGCAATGGTGGATCCCCAGAGCTCTCACTGGCCCAAGTCCAGCAGATCCCAGAACCACCCAATAAAACCAGCCCCCACAGGGGGTTGACGTGGCCCAAGAACCCCTGGAGCTGCACACCATTGCCTGCTGGACACATTGCTGTGGCTGGGGGGGGTTCAAAAGCCACAGGGCAGCTGCTCCACTGTTTGACCTGGTCTTCATTTCCTATACATAAAAAGGGCATCTTCTCCCCTGCTCCTGCCAAGGGGTAGGCAGTGGTGGAAAACAGCAGCTTTACTCCTGAGATGAATAACAATCAGGCTACAAAATATGAAGATTTTTGTATGTAAATATTTGTCACAGTGCTACTGCTCCAGCTCCTCCATCTGTCCCCACATGCCCACTGCACAAAGGCACCGTAGATAACCCCACACCTGCAATTATTTATTCACTTGAACTCTGTTCTCGTGCCCCATCTGCTGAGGCTGAGACTACTGAACTCCATGAGCTAATGCACCAGCTGGCTCCCCAACCCACTCTGTGTGGGTAGCAAAGCAAACCTGGAAGGCTATCACTTTCAGTCCAAAATCTGAAATTTTAATGTGCCCATCCACTCTTTTTTTTTTATGGTGTAATAGAACATCAAAGCTCATGTGCATATAAATTATTAAGGTGACATTTATAAAGTGACATTTAAGCAAAAAATGCTTTTCAAAGGAAGTGCCAGGTAGGCTCTTTGTTCTGGATGTGATACAACACCAATTTATTAACCCGTCCAACCTTTCATCAACTGAAAAGCAGAAAAGTTTGGGGGGAAGGGAGGTGTTTTATTTTAGAAAATTCGCCACAGCCTTTCAGCAAAAGGCTACTTTCCTTCCTATACCAAAGCACAAGTGTTCAAATGTGGACCAAGGGCCAGTTTTTGTCTACAGAAGTTTTGCAGGACCAAAATCAAATCCACAGAAAATGAAAGTGAGTCATCATACACAGCACTAATGCTTTCAATTAAGGCTGGGTTTCATTTAACGGCTAAATGACACAGAAGAAGTGTCTGCACTAAATCAAGGCTTCATAATTTAATAATAAATGTTTAAATTCAACTCTCGGTACTTGACCAATAGTTTCTTTTTACAGTATCAGTTTCCTAATAAATTAAACATCTAAGCTGTTCTCTTAACATTACAATTGCCCAGCACTTGAAAAATACATAGCAGAGAACTGTTTAACAGTCATTGTTTTAATCAAAGCGGACAATATTTCTATTTCAAAGTTGGGGGCGGGGGAGGCAGTGTTAAACAGATGAGACGAGGTGAAAATAGCCCAAATTCCTTTCCACTTTGGAACCTGCTGCCCGCCCATGCCAAAAATGGCAGACTTGTAGGTTTCTTACTGAAATTGTCTTATGCCTCACAAGTGATCGATATTTGCACTGAAGCAGAATGAGTAGTTAGCTTTTGCTGACATACCACAGAAGAATGGGATTCAGCAGTGAATCACAAATACCTGTCATGGATGTCTCTGCACAGATAGCAGTACTCGGAGGTTAACTGTTTGCTGGAGCATGTTCTTGGCTAGCCCTGCCTCACCTCAGTAAGAAATCCTTTGTAGTGAAAACTTCCATGTTAAGGGGAAGGCAAGCTGCTGACAATGACAGTTTGTTACAACGGCTTCTGAAGACACAAGTGTCTCTTATGAAATTATCTTTTTCAAGAGAATTTTCTACCTTTGCTGCCTAGCAGACGTAGCATTAAAAAAAAAAACCACCACAACAACAAAAAACCAAGCCAACCCCAAAGTTCCTGTGTACATGAAGCTCATGAACACACTGGGATCCACACAGATCACATCTCCATTGCTCTATAAATATATTGCTCTATGGGGTATTTTCCTATTTTACTAAATGTGCTCTCAAAGGCAACTAAAGCAGCTTCTCCTAGATCTGTGGCTTCCTGATCTTCTAGGAGCATCAATCTATTTTCAGTCCCTTTAAAAGTCCCTGCAGCCCTCTGCAATATCAACCAGGAAGAAAGGGAACATTACGAATGCACCCAGTTATGAACCTTTGGACCAACTTTCCTTGACCCCACCCTTTCTTCTGTTTATGTGTTACCTGATGGAAAATAAATCTTTCTACAGGGATGTAACTATCCTTTTTTTTTGTTTCTTTCTTTCTTTTGGGGGGGGGGGAGAGGAAGGAAAGAAATAGATGTTTTTAGTTAGCCAAATTCAAGTACCTATTCTACCAGATTCGGACAAGAAAGCTACATCTCAGTTCTACTTTTGAGATTGAGTCCTTCTCTAGGATGAGGACAGGGGTTGCAAGACTTTTCAGAATTGCTGTGGAAAAACTACAAAGCACTGCCAAAATACAAACCACGTTGTCATGGAAATAAAATGAAAAACCAGTTTAACTAACTGGATTTTAGCTTTTATCAACAGGCAGACCAAAGAGACAAAACACATGAAAACTGTGAGCAGAGCTTGAGAAAATTACCTGAAGACTTGGAACAATGGGATAAACAGTATGCTACAAGGAGGAAAGACCACATCAATGCTAACATATCAGTATAGCTTTTTCTTTTCAACCCAGGGGCCCTGAAGTACTGTACTCGAGCTGATGAATGAAACCTTCCCAAAGTCTCAAAAAGCTGCCCTTTATCATTGCACACATTATCTGGTTGCTTAGCTCTTAGTAAGTTTTCCATACAAGTTCAAGTTTGTAGTAAGGCAAACCGATACTTTCAGCTCTGGGTAACACTGAACAACTGGCAGACATCACATTCAAGAGCCCGACTGCTTGTCTTTAAGAATGATCATGGAGGACAAGGAAAGAAAAAGATATCAAGGAAACCAGAAGAGAGACACTTATTTAAGGCAGCATTACAAAGAGAAGCTACCTGAAAAAGATAATAGAGGACACTACTGGGATATAGGGAAGGTTACAGTAATATGTCCAATTTTGCATTTTTAATCAGCCTTTCCAAGAGGACTCACATATTAAATTTGAAACACCAATAAACCCCAGAAGCATTCAAGAACTACCCCAACAACAACAATGCTAAACCTGATGGAGGACTGAACTCATGCTTCAGGAGAGAAGTACAGTCCATTTGAAAAGGAATGTATTCATTCTGAGGAATGACAGAAATGTAAGATACCTGTTGCAAAGACTTCCGCCCTCTCAATTCCTTTATCTTCTCTCTGCACATCCTGCAGGAATGCACCTACGGTGGTCACCACTGGTTTGACAGTGAACTGACAGCGTTCACTTCTTGTGGGCAGCGTAAGAGTTATCACAGGCAGACCATGTCTGTAATTAATAGTTACTTCTGGGGGAGGCGGAAAAGAAAACTAAGTGAAGAAGTCATATCGTAAGTTGTAGTTTAATTTAAAAGCTGTTTTTAAAACACAGGATGAATAAAGAAAACCACACAAAACATTCTAGATTTCTTTAATAAATATAGTACTTCTATTTCTGGGGGGGAGAGAGAGAGAGAGATAAAAAATATATATATAACATGCAACTAACGTCATCTCACCCTACTCCCACAAAATAAATGAAAAGCTTGTTGACATTGATGGGAGGGGGGAAAACCTGCTGGGCAAGCTTACCATCAGATGGCACCAGCGTGCTGTAAGGTGCTCCTTCCCAGCCCCTCCTGGCTCCGGCGTGCCTCCACAGCCGCACCTGCAGCACGGACACAGGGAGCTTGCTTTAGAAAGGTTAGGATGCAAGATTTATCTGGTCAAAGGCAGTACCCAGCCTGTCACGGTGATCTGTCTGTGTGATCTGACAGCAGAGGTGTCCTTCTCAAGAAAAACCCCTCGCTTACCGATTTCTATTTAAAAGACAGAACCGTCCTTATAGAAAGCATAAACGTTGCCAAGGGTATTAAGGTATTGCCCATAGTTTAACTTTTTGTCCAGCGTCGTGTAAATAACTCAAGGAAAAAAGGAAAGGGGAGGGAAAGAAAGGGAAAAAAAAAAAATCCAGTGTTTCTGAAGTGCTTCATGCAACTCTCACAATAAGCCCTCTCCTCTGCCACAAAAACAGCTGCTTGAAAGAGCTCTACATCGTGGCGCCTGAAGGCAGAAGTGTTCTGCAGCAGTTCAGAGTCCGCAGTGTAACTTAAAACAGTGTGCATGGTTTCAGTGAGGTCTTTTACTGCCAAATCATAAACAGAATGGCACTCTTTATAACCTCAAATAAAATGAAAGCCAATGCAGACTGAGGTAACTCCCCTTTGCTTCGTAATTATGTATCATATACCAGAAGTTAACTATTGACATTCATGGTGTTAAAGGACAACAACAACAATGCGGCTTGCCAAAGTATGGAAGATATTTTATTTTTAAAATCTGAACAGCTGTTTCAACTGCAGCTGAGATACTGCTGCTGCAACTAACAGCACCGCCAGCCTCTGGTACCACATCGAAGGAGGTACACCCAGATGCAATAAGTATCCCCTACGCCCTGGGACAGTGCTGACAGCAGGATTTTGAACCTGCATGGTTGCGCTCCCAAGCCCATCCCTTCCAGGGACATTGGTGAGAACCATCAAGACGCTTCAACACAGCCATGTCAAAACAGAGGAGACAAACTGCTCTGATTAGACCCTTGTACTTAAAGCAGTCCAGCCACGCTGTGGAAGATGCAACTACTCTGACACAAAAGTACTCTGCTTCTACAGCTAGTCCCCCCTGCACAAGGAGAGGAACAATTTTATTGCAGTGACTCCCACAAAGTAGGCATTACTGCTATAAACTAAGTGTAACAGGCAGAAGTAAGAAGGGAAATCACATCCCTGAGTAAGCTGGTTACAAAAATTGTGCATGGGCTGGACCAAGGCATGGGGTTTGAAATATGATAGCCGGGGGAAGTGGAAAATGATGTGGGGAGAGATGACAAGGACCGATTCTCCCTCTGGTCAGCTTTATAGCTCATCTGTCTGAAGGCCACAACATTTCATAGTCTGCAAGATAATCTCCTTCGACAAGGCAGGAAAGGAAAGCTACAAATGCAGGAGGCCTCTGCCCATTCAGTATGCTGAGCACTGCTCACCACGTTCATGTGATTTACTTGTTTTTAAAGAATCACAAGTTTGACTGCCTGGATAGGAATATCCTGTTAGGTTAAATAAAGGATTCACCTGTAAAAAAATAAATCTGTGTGTTTCAAAGATGCTGACCTTGCCCTAGCTTTCTACCTGGAACAAGGACTTTTCAGGATTTGAAGAAATTAAAATGAATCACACTGGGAGTTTCCAACACTGAGAAATTTGTGTATTGTAATCTTCAGGTATCAAAGGCACTCAGAAACCTAGACTAAATAGCAAAATACCTTAAACACAAGAGCATCGTCAAAAAAAAAAGAAAGAGTAGACACTAGGAGTGCAGGAATGCCAAATGGCTACCCAGGGCTAGGACACATGCGGTAACTTGTTTGTTTCTCCAGCAGAGCAAGAGACTTTCCCTGGAGCAGAGCAGGACACACAGCCCAGCTCACCAGTTCTCACCCCATCTACAGGGGGCACCTACACCCACAAAACATTTAGAAATATACAGCCTAGCAGTAGGGGGAAAACATTCAACACGTGATCCGTTTTTTCCACAAAAGACCCTGAAACACACCGATTCGAACAGTCCATGGTAATACTCAATAGCCTTGAATCTAACAGCAACCGTGTTACTTGTTTCTTCTGAGGGATGTATTTAAGGAACTAGCTGTTGATTTTTTTTTTCACAGATACCTGATACGTAACTTTGCAATTAACATTTAGATACTTATCCTCCAACCCACCTCAGGCATGGAACTGCTCCATGCTTGTATTGGAAGGTTCCTTCATTTATTTTCTTTTTAATCATAGAATCATAGAATGGTTTGGGTTGGAAGAGACCATAAAGATCATCTAGTTCCAACCCCTCTACCATGGGCAGGGATACTGTCCACTAGATCAGGTCGCTCAAAGCCCCATTTTGGTGAATTTGGGTATCTACTTTGCTTATGGAGGAATCAATGCATTCAACAATTAATACATATTAATATATAAATATTTAGTAAGGTATTTGAGTCTATTATTCTTTAGACTTTGACATTTACCATTCATGATCCATTGAAAAAATCTCAATATATACTGAAGCTTTTTTTTTCTTTTTTAGATTGTCTGTTAATGCAGCCTACCCATTAAAATCACCTGCAAAGAAAATGTGAAGTATAAGAAAAGCAAAAGCCACTGAGCCATGGAGTTGAACTGAGTACCAAATAATGAACTCTTTCTATACAAGCTCTAGGTTGATTAGCTGGGAAGTATGAAGGGCTGAGTTAACTTCACTGAAACTGGAGATGTAAATCTGGAAATGTAAGGAGAAAGTTATTAAACCATTAGCTTGCGCCCTACAGCCAAATCACTGTGCCACTTTCGAGGTGCTTGGAATGACCCCTACTCTGCCACTGGAAAAGAAATGAGGTCGGCAACCACCGCAGCTAAAAGGAAGACTTGAACCACAGGACCAAACCAATGAGAACGCCCTCACAGTAACATCAGTGAGAGCTGGAATAGAAGGAATGTATCCTGAATTAACTGCATCATGACTTTGAGATACTGTAAGGAGGACAGCATGCTACTAACTCTCTTATATGCCAGTACATGCATCTCTTGGCTAATTCATCTAACCACACAAAGGCTAAAGAAAGCTATTCTACATCTTCCTGCAACTCGAGCACACACGTGGCAGGACATCTGGCTAAAATACCTCTAATGCAATTACAACTATGTTCTGGAATCGGGCCAAAGGCTTATGAACAGCATTTAGCTGTGAAACACCCTTTCTCCCTCAGCTATGTTTGCTTCCTAACACAAAACACCTGGGAGCAGCAGTCAGCCACAGTGACCTAGATCTCTTGACTCAGTTCAAGGCATGGACTCTGGGAGTGAAAACCCATGAGAATTTCAGGCACAGAGTGCTAATTGTGATAAAAATAATCCAATATATTCCGTTAAAAAATACCAGTTGGTGTAAAACAGAAAATATATCTCCAGTTTAAAGAAGTACTTCCTCTTTTAAGGGTACCTCCTGTCTCTAAATGCAGAGAAGTTGCCACTGTTAAAGTCAGAGTGGAAATTTCAACAATCTGGTTTACAGCACAGCTTTAGGGACTAATGTAGCAGCATAACTGAGCTGGAAAACTAAGCAGCCAGGCATGGGGGGTGGGGAGAGACAGGAACAGCGATACTGCATTTTTCACTTTGAGAGTGGCAAACCACTAAACCTATCTACATTGCATTTTCTGGAGTTAGCTGTTCTGAATAAGCAATCTCTTATGATGTTGAGTGAGTGTTGCAGCAAACATCAGCTCAAATTTATGTGTGGCCAGCTACGTGTAAAGAATTGGTATCAGCAGCAGCATATGAGGTGGCACCAAAGTCTCTCATCTTCCTCAGTACTGCATATGCAAATAGAAACCTCATTAGGAACCATAACTTCTGTTCTCTGGAAAATTGTAATGTGGGTGGGGAGAGAGCAAGAAGTAAAAATATTTTTCTCATGAAAAAGTGACCTTGAAAAAGGAATTCTACAAAAACATGTCATTAGGAGACTTTCTGAGAGCACAGAATTATCATCTTTGACACTTAGTTGATTTATTTCATTTTGACTTGCCATACCAAAATGTTGTAAAAAATTTGAATCAAAATGCAGCTAGCCAACAATCACGTATTTGAAACTGTTTTGACTTCGCTTATATAAATCTCAGACGATTCGGTAGTTTTGGTTTGTTATTTCAACAGCAAAAATAATGTAATGCTCCTTCAACTTTCAAGTCCCCATTAATTTGCATTTATTAGTGGAAAGCTTTTCATTCCAACCAAAAGACATAGTCAGCTCAACTCCGTCTGCGCTCTTCTTGAAGTGCCATGCAATACTACAGCTGAAGTATTATATTCCTCTAGCGTGAGATGCTGTCGATAATGCCTCAAGTCAAACTCATAAGCAGCCTTCACAAAAAATTATTACCGCAGACTGTTACTATGACTGCCATGGTCTCCCAGATTCTCATTTCCTTCTCTCTAAGGCAATGATAAGAATCTGAAATAGAAAAGCACAATAATAAAACACACTACTCCACTAAGTGTAAGCTTTTTACCCTTATTTTAATTACACTGCAGAAAAACACACTCTAATTAAAATGTATCTTGCAGTGTGCTTTTCAACAGTAATACGTTACAGTTTTTCCCCAGGCAGGAGAGGAGAGCTCAGTTATCTCCTGGAGTCCTTGTCCAACACCTGGTACAGCTCCCTTCACACAGCTGCTGGAGAAGGACTGGGGGAAGGGAACAGAAGGGAGAAAAACCATGGTGGAAACTAGTAGTTGCAATGCCTAAAAATGAATTTTGGGGCCTCTCTTTCTAAGTGTTGCTAGATGAGCCAATATCCCCGGTATGCATCATTCTCCCCACATACTGATCTTGCCCGGCCTGTGAAGAAGAGGGCAAGACAAGTCACCTCTCTAGATGCTGCTTGCTTGTCTGCAGCAGGAGGAAAATGAGGGCGGGTACATGTTAGCCACTCTTCAGTGAGGGCACGTACTATAAATCGCTATTTATTTTTTCCATATTGACTGATATGTTTTTCTCTCTCTCTAATAAACACACCTGGAAGTTCTCCGCATATGAATGGTGTCAGCTCCCGTCTGATTCTCCAAGGGAAACAAACCGAGCAATTAATTAATTATGGTGAGGGCGGGTACATGTTAGCCACTCTTCAGTGAGGGCACGTACTATAAATCGCTATTTATTTTTTCCATATTGACTGATATGTTTTTCTCTCTCTCTAATAAACACACCTGGAAGTTCTCCGCATATGAATGGTGTCAGCTCCCGTCTGATTCTAAGGGAAACAATGGTGTCAGCTCCCGTCTGATTCTCCAAGGGAAACAAACCGAGCAATTAATTAATTATGGAGTAACAATCTGCAATTTCAGAATAAACTATCTACAGACATTTCAGAAAGGTTTAAAACCAAGGGAAAGGAGGAAAAAAAAGCAGGTGCTGTCACAGTCTACTGAGTTTGCAGATCTTGCACAACTAAGATTACCAAAAATGAATCAGTATTCAGACCAAGTTTACAATAACTACAAATAATAAGGTATTTCCCTTTTTAAAATGAGTCACCAAGGCCATTTTGGAGATATCTGCAGTTAAATTTCTGTGCTGTTTTTATAAGCAATCCCACATGAGTAGGAAAATAAGACATCAGGAGCCCTAATAACAGCCTACAGTCATCTTACAAGTGCCCATCTGAGCTACAGAAACACCTTCTCTCTCATTAACTTTTCAGTAATTTGTCTTTGCTTACACTGAAAGGATTTTTATTGTTTCTCCACTGGTCCTAGAACCGATTTAGATGACCATGCAACAGCAGCCTCAATACAAACAGCAGCTTCAAGGTACATCACTCAGATTTAGCAACATCTTCTGGAAGCCCAACTTAAATTAAACAAACAAAACCCCTG